CTCATCCTAAGATAATGACTATGCTAGGTTTAGACTTTAGAGCAGCTGCAATTCCGTACAGGGGACCGATGTCTGGTCAGGTTTGGAGACCAACTCTGCAGAATGTCATAATGACAGTGAGTTCAGCAGTGACACTGGCTGGTTACAGGAACAAGGAGGACTGCTGGGCTGGAGCAGTTCCAACCCCCACTAGGACTAACATGCTTCAGAAGTAGCTGAGTATGTGCCTCTCTGGAGCAGTGTTCTCTGCTTTAGAGTGGTCAGGATTCTAGGACTCTGGTCTCCTGCCAGGTCCAGTGCTTGGCACTTTCTAAAGACAGCTATGAGCAGAGGGGGTGCTCTCAGGAGGTGGTTGAGTGTCTCTAGCCAGATAAGGGCTCACAGGGCCTGACCACCTCATTGTGGCCTCACTCTTTTGAGTTCTCTTGAGCCCTTCTTTCTGAAGATCTTTTTTTTTTTTTCTTCAATGTATTTGGTTGTTGCAGGGTCTCACTGCGCAGCTTAGTCTCATAGTGGTCCTCCTGTTTTTCTCCCCAGTGCTGGGATTACAGGCATACGCCACCATGCCCAGACTCGGTGGCTGGCGAGGCATGTGATGCCGGGGATCTTGCTGACCCCTCTTTGTGAAGATCTTATCTAATCCCCATCCTCATCTTTATAGTAGTTAATTATCTTCCACATTCTAAGGGAGACTACTAATGTCTAAGAGAAGTCACTTTGCCTAAGATCATATGAGCCATGTTAGAAGCGAGATTCAAGGGAAAGAGAGTTGAAAGGAGGAGAAGGAAAAAAAAACCAATTAAGATGTATTATGGACAGGCGCAGGTTTCTTACAACCAATGTGATCAGTATAAGTAACAAATATGTAGTAATAAAAAAAAAAGTTTAAAAAAAGTAAGATTCAGGCAGGGTATGGTGGCACATCTCTGAAATCCCGGTGCGGAGGGAACCTGGGGCAGGGGTATCTCAAGTTTGATTCTAGCCTGAGCAGCTTAGCACGACCTGTAGCCTGAGCAGCTTAGCACGACCTGTGTCAGAATAAAAAAAATAAAAGGGCTGAGGATGTGATACAGTAGCAGGGTACTTATGTAGCAAGCACCAAACCCTAGGTTCAATCACCAGTATTTAAAAAATAATTTTTTAAGGTTAGATTCACATTGAGGTCTTTTCTACCTCAAGGCCTACGTTTTTTCCTTGCAGTTATACCCCAGATTTGAAATCACTCCTCTAATTTAACGTGGTCAGCTTGAGTGATTCCTAGAGTTAGGGAAAAACCTGTTGTCCTTTACCTCTCTCTCTCTCTCTCTCTCTCTCTCTCTCTCTCTCACACACACACACACACTCGTAAAGTATGAAATTCTTTTAAGAAGGGTAGGCTGGGGATACAGCTCAGTGGCATAAGCACCTGTCTGGCAAGTGGAAGATCCCAAGTGTGATCCTTCATACACAAAGAAGGGGGGGTAGTCTCTTTTATAATCAGGTATATGACTTAAAATTCAGGCATTTGTGGAACAATTAATTGGTCAACAAATTCACACTATGGTGTAAATGACAGATAGAACTTTTGTTTTAATGAGAGCAGCTCTGGATTAAGTAGAACATGGACAAGAAGAATTTGTCCCAAAGAGCTAAAGAAATAAGGGAAAATGGAAGGAGAGAGAAAAGAGAAGAGAAAGGGATTTGGAAATAAGAGAAAAAAATCTTTGATGGATTGACAGTATTGCTTAAAGTGGTTTCTTTTCCAAAGCAATTCTAGGAATGACATTTGAGCAGAGATCTGAATGGTGAGAAGTCTGGGACTGTGCTTGAAGGACAGAATTCCAGACCAAAGACACAGGAGAACAGAACTCTGGACCCTTGAATTGGCTTGGTCCAGGAGACCTGGGCCTAGTGAGTGGACAGAGGGAGGGGGCAGTAGCAGGAGGTTAGTTGGAAAGAGAATTTTAATGTTTCTCTTTTGTATGCTTAAACATTTCCTGTGTTGTCTTGTTTGAGTCAGCAACCCTATAGCCCAGAGAACGGGAGTTAGGGGAATAGGCTCTTGACCCAGAAAGACTGGTTCAAACCTATCAATTCAGCTTCAGAATTTACTTCACAAATGACTTATTCTTTTGCGTTGGCTAAAATGAGGCCAATCTTCACCTTCATAAATGTTTGGGAGAGATTTAATGAGATAGTTAACACACTTAACGTGGTAGCAGTCACAAGGTAAGCAGTAATAAATGCAGCTTACTATTATTTTTATTTGATACGGTCTAACTGCTTATTCGGAAGAGCATTTCAATGTAGCTATAAACCTCCTGAGATTGATTCTGTGTCTTGGCAGATGAATGATTTCCTTTTAGTGCCTGCCACATTCATAATACTCAATAAATACTTATTGAATGAATGGGAACATGAACGAAGGTGCCAGGATCAGGCAGAAATAAAGGGCATAAATCTGTGGGTGGGAGTTTAAAGATAATTTGGAGGCACTGGGGAGCTATTGAAGGTTTCTGAGCAGAGACAGGAGTGCCAGACTAAGGGATGAAAGACTTGGACACAGGACAAAGAACTGGCAAGTTGTGGGCATCATAAGAAAACTGTTCTGGGGAATTCCACAGAAAAGGGAAGGGGGGACTTTCTTTAGGATTCACTACCTTAGAGGTTGCCCATCACCCCAGGCCATGCGTGATGTGCTGGTCTACAGCAGCTACCCTCATCCTAGTTTTCTGGGTTGTCACCTTGGAGTCTTCTAAGGGTCCCCCTTTATTTCTTTTATTCTCTATGAGTCCCCTTTCCAAGTGGTCCTGTATTCCCAGCCTGAAGAATCATGTGAAAGCTCCTTCTGACTTTGTGAGGGTCTCAGGTGACCTTGGAAGGCAGAAAGGTCCTGACCTTCTGTGACCCCTGAGACCACACACATTGAGAGCTGGGGAGATGGCCTTTCCAGTTCTTAGGTGGCTGAGGACGGGTGTGGGTGCATGTGAGCTGACTCTGGCTTTTTGCTTGGGTTGAGTTCTGTTTCTGTGGGTCTTCAGCCATTCCTCTCTCCCTGCCCGCTAGCGCTGGTCTGAGTCCTGGTCCTGGGTCACAGCAGAATCCACCTAGTTCTTCCCTTTTCTCTTTAGCAGTGTGCTTTGATTGACAGCTACAGCTGCCACTGGCCTGGGCACCAGAAGCTGCCTCTGCCCCCAAAAGCTTGAATTTGGCTAATCTGGACCAATCTAGGCTCGAATATCGGCCAATCACTGAGTTCAAGTTTGGACCAGTCACAGGTTTGTTCCATCCACGGCTCACGTTGGTCTAGATTAGAACTTCTATGATGGTATTTCCTACCTGTGATGTTACACAACAGCGTTCAAATGACAATTGCTGCAGTGTTCCCAGAATGTCTGTAACTCCGCTCTGCGTTATTCTGGGCAGTATGCACACAGTGGGGCTCCTAAAAAGAGCTGTAGACAGTAAGGCGTGTCAGTCCTGAATAATTTGGGAGACTTCCACTGACTGGCTTCGAATGGTGACATCAGGTAACCACTGGCAGTAACAACTGCAGGAATCTGCAACATTTGCCTGGGAGCCCCAGAGTGTAACAGCGGGGGCTGAGAGCTGCTGGTACTACCGGCCCCAGTCCTCCAGCAGAGCTGTACTCTTCTGATTTGTAATATTCATCTGTGTTGAGTGAAAGAATCCTCAACTGATTGGCAGTAGCTCCAGGGCGCAGCCTGCTTCCCTGCTCCCTTGTAGCCTACCACCACAGCACTCGCAGCACACACCAGGGAGCTGGAAGCGCTACTCCCCGGGCACAGCATTGCTGGATTTAGCAGCAAACAAAGTGGCACAGGAGACTTGCTGTTCTGGGATGTTCTCCGGCCCCCCCTGCCTGCGGTGCTTTCCAGGGACCACCCATGGCATGGAGTGTTTGGCCTCAGACCATCTGGTGACTCTCTACTCTCCTCAGGGTCCCCAAGTTCTGTTCAGCAAAGCATGTAACTCTTCATTCTGAGGCCCAAACCACACCACTGACCTCTGCACAGCCCAAGTGCACCAGGGCTCTTGGCTGCTGCGCAGGCCTTCGGCACAATCAGCACCACAGAGCAGCAGTGAGGTTTTTGTCCCTTAAAAGGATACAGCCTTCAGGGAGCACTTGTGGTTTTAAATAGCAATTTCCCTTTTCTTTATGCTTGTCTTTTTTTTCTCTCCAGTGTTGGGGATTGAACCCAGGGCCTCACACGTGCTAGCTGGCCTTCACTACTGAACTACACCCCCTAGCACTTCATCTCCCTTTAGATTATCTTATGGAAGGCTGAGTCCTACAATCTCTGCTCTTCAGGCCCTTTGCTGTCTTACTCTCTTATTCATCCCTTCAGTGCATACCTATTGAGCAGAGTCCCTGTGCTGAGTGTAAATGCCCAACACCCCAGGCCACCATGTACCTGTTTCTTAAAACCCAGCAGTTGGTTCCCTGCGCCTGTGGAATGGGCCATAGTAAGGATCACCTGTGCCCTAGGTAGTGCCGGTGCAGTGAAACCCAAGTCCTATGATGTTACTGAAGGGCAAAAGTGTTCTTACCTTGCAAAAGGATTTGCTGCAGGATTAAATCAAGCCACAGAAGTTTAGAATTTGAAGGCACCTAGGGGACCAGCTCAGTCAATCCCTTCATTGATTAACAGTGGAAAGTAAGATTTAAAAGGCTTAACAGACTTACTTACAGTTAGTCAGCAGTACCAGAGCCAGCAGGTCACAACTAATGCTGTTTGCTGCTGTTTTTTTAATCCCAGTACCGTTCTCCTTCCATCACGCCATGATATAGGGATACTTTTATGATGACAATGCTATCAAGACCAAAATTTATTGAGTAACATATATATATATATATATATATATATATATATATCAGACTCTGTTGTAAGTTCATTTTAAAAATGCATTTTCCTACCAGGAATCAAACTTAGGACCTTGCACTTGCCAGGCAGGCACTGTGTTGCTCAGCTATATCCTCTAGCCTATAAATGCTTTTAACATATCACAACCTTATTCTCAGCAATTCCATTAACACCATTACGAGTGAGCTGAGGCATACAGACTCGACCACTCACCCTGTTCCATTTGACTCCCGAGCCAGTCCTGTGAGCCACACTTCATGGCTTGTCTTTAGAGTGATTCTAACCAGAGTCCCTGTGTAGAAATGTGTTCCTACACTCACCTTTAAAGGCTTTTACACTGCACAGTTTTAGTGCTATTAAAATCAAAGCTTGGCATTATACTTCCGGCAGGTCTTTCAAAATGCTTCATTGCTGTGTATACAGTTGCCACTAAAGTTTGCAGAGCTTGGCTGATGTAACTGAGATGAAAAGCCTTCGATTACAATGCACGGAACAACGAGCAGAAATGGCTTCTTGGCGACAAATGAGCATGCTGCATGATAGAATGAGATGTCATGTGTACTTTTCTTATGAAGCAGCTGTCGTTAAGGGACAGCAAAATTTAGAAACTGATTTACAGTGTGATCTGTAACGAGTAGAAATCAGGTGTTTTGCTGTTCTCAGAAATCTTCCCATTGGAGATGTTTTTTTAAAATTATGATTAATTTCCCAAGACAAACTTCTCTCCCTTCATATTTTATGGTCCCAGGCATTCTGTGAGTAGGAAGTCCCAGTAAAATCTGGCATCTAAAACAAATAAGACCAGTCTGCTCTCTCATTGGCTTCTTTTCCTTGGAAACGGCAATCAGAATAATCTCTGGAGAGTTCAAACTTTAATGCGTGCTTCTCAGCAACATTTCTCCTGATGACGGAAAGTGGAAAAGCAAGTAAAAGGAACATTATGAACCTTTGGATACTCCGGAGTTGTATCTATTATCAGGAGCAGCTTGAGCCTAGAGTCATTTAAAACCTCTGAGGGTGGAGGAGGGTAGAAAGTGTAATTATTCACAAGGGATCACTATGGGCTGAGCACAAATGGGTTGCTATTTGTTTTTGGTTCCTTGTAATGATTATAGCCCGATGACATAAGGACAAGATCTAGCAGTTCAGTTATGACAATTTCATCACTGTCATTAATGCCTTTTGATTGCAGTGAACATGAGAAACTGTTCAGTATTGGGGGATGAAAAAGTGTGTGTGTGTGTGTGTGTGTGTGTGTGTGTGCACGCACGCAGAAAGGACAATAAAGGGAGAGCACTAGGGAGAAGTTCACATACTATTAATACCACAAGAAATACCCCTGGGTAATTAAGTCAGCTGACTTACACCACATAGGGCCTTGGTGAAAGGGCCAAATTTTGGACTATCCTTTCTCCTAGCAAATTGCTTCTGTTTATAAATGTCCATCATTTTTTGCCATTTTGGTCCCTAGAAATGTTCACAGGGAGATGGTATTTTGGGGGTCTGTTTCAAGTATAATGGATGTGAATAATTAGTTTCACTATCTTCTCTAGCATTCAAGGGCCAAATACAGCAAAATAAATAGAGGAAGCGCAGTGACCTTTGCGGTGGATCTACTGAGTGTCGGGCAAGTCTGAGTTTTCGTGTGCATTACCCCCTCTTCTCAACAATCTGAGAAAATAGCCTCACTGCCACTTAGCCTACGTGAACAATAACAGAGAGGCAGAATTTGTGCCTGACATCACCTACCTAGTTATCAGAGAGGAAGGATTTGATTGCCCATGTCTCCTTCCAAACTTACTTGTGTGGTAAGGGCTGCTAGAAAAAAAAATAGCAAACAAAAAAATATATTAATTTAAAGAGGACCAAGACAACATAAGCAGGAATATATATTTATTGGATGATTTGATCTTATGAAAGCATGGATGGTAAGAGGACATCCTGGAAGAACTTGTATCAATTAGATCTTAAAATTACAGAATCCTTTTTTGTAAACTTACCCTTCCTCCTAGGATGACCCTTGCTAAGACATTCTGTGTTCCTGTTTAAAGGCAAAAAAGTGGGTGGAAGATGAAAGTTCAATGTTTGGCCCAAACCTATCTGTCTCATTGACACTGTATATTTGGTGCTTGCCTGTGGCTATGCCTTTCTGCAGCAGACCACGTTCCTTTGACTCATATTCCTACTTACAGCCCTCTTGCCCTTTTCTGGCCAACTTGATGCACATTGTGACTTGGATCTTGGGAAATGTCTGGTAAAACTGGCCAATCGCGAGGGCAGGCTTAGCAGGGAAACAACCAGGCGGGTTGCGGGGTGGGACAGAAACAAAAGCCTGCTCGATTCCTGTGATGACAGAATCATGCTTTTGCTGTAACATTTCATGAACTACCCCAAAATGGACTGTAATCCTTTCTCATGGACGCTGTTAACCCTCTAAGCTATGGATAGAACATTTACTCACATTCTAGCCAGATTTAGGCTCGGTGCAATGCCACCAATCTGGCAAACTCCAGAGATTCTCAGCATAGAACACCCAGAGTCCCTGCTCACCGCTCTAGCCTGAGTGCCACTTGGGCTGCAATTGTGCACTGCTGAAGAAAAACAAGAAGCAACCGAAAACCCCAGGCCAGGGTGCAGTGTGGTGAGCAAAGACACCAACTCTGAGGACCAGGAAGCTGGAAATTCCCCGCCGCCTCGGGGTCTGGGCTCTAGCTTTCCCACTTCCCTAAAACCATTCCCTGCACTCAGGAGAGGCTCCCTCGTTGTCTTTGGAAATGACAGTAAAAGCACGGATCCAGGATCCTGGGCTGTTAAGCGACCATTTGGACGCCTAAACCTAACTCTCATTCTCACCTGAGCGTAAGGGAGTGGCGACCTCAAGTACACCGCGCTTCCAGAATCGGGCTCTCCAAGAGCCGCTGGGTCCCTCCAGGAAGCTCTCACCCACTCTGTCTGTCCCGCTCAGCACGGAAACACAACTTTCTCAAGCTTTGAGGTTTTTCTCCGCTGGGCTTACGGGGGGCCGTTCCGGGTCACAAGCGAGGCTGGGGTGGGTCCGTCCATCCCTGCGTGGACAGGTGGGGCCCGCGCATTACTGGGGCCACCCCAGACCTGACGGAGGATGCTGAAAG